TTTCCCTTCCCCTCCTCCTCCACCTCCTTCATCATCTTCTCCATTTCTAGGATTTCTCCAATCCCAACCCCCATTCCTCCTATCCTCCCACTCCGCTCCCCTACCCCTCTCCACTCCTCCATTCTCACCTTCCTCTCCTCCTTCCTCTCCTCCTCCTCTCTCTCCACTCTTGCCACCGACCTCCTTCCCTCCTCTCTAGCCACTAGACCCACCAACTTCTCTCCCACTCTTGCCTTCCTTCCTTTCTCCACTTCTTTTTTCTCTTGGGTTAGACTGAGGTATTATAGGAATTTCACATTTTTTAAAACAAAAAAATACTCAAGAGTTGTAACCTTAAGCAAACTAAGATGGTTTACAGCGAAAATAAATAAATAAATGTGGTAAGTTGTATTTTTGGCATAAGTTATGGTGGTTTTCACTTAAAAACCCATGGTAAAAAGGATAACGATGATAGTTATAGCTCTGCTTCACAACAGCAAAATAGCAAACATACCTTCCTACCTCACTCAAGGAATATTATGAAAGAAGCAACAAATTCAACTAACTTGAAAGTTGTGACCATGAAAGACTACAAAATGTTGATCATAAATCAGCAATGGAAAGATGAAACAACAAACTCACTAAATTTTGATCAAAATCTCATCAGCAAAATGATGGTGAAGCTGCATTCACCGGTATATGAACATGCTTGCTGCCTACTTGCTTCTATATTAATTGAACTCTACTGACAGGGTTAGGACAAAATTGGAGGATCACATCTCCCAAACATAAGTTCTTACAGAGAGATCAGAGGGGAGGATCTAAATATACATTTCATAACTATTATGTTCATACAAAGAGATCAGAGGGGAGGATCTAAATATACATTTCATAACTATGTACATTGTGATTTACTGAAGATACTGATATCTACAAAGGTTAGTTATTGAGAATTCAATCAGTCACCTGTAACTGGCGCTATAGTATGAAGAAACCAATATGAAGTTGCTGCAACCAATCTGAAGTATACCATCTTCAGCAGACTGGGATGTATTTCTGATGTTATAGACATTCTCTTCTCCAAAAGCATCAGATTAGGGCAAGTTGAGCATAGCTCAAACACCCGTTTTCTTAAATAGCTCAAACAACTGTTTTTTTAAATAACCTCCTTGATATCTCATAAATTTGGTTGTCACTAGCCAATTGTCTGCAAATCTAAACGTTAGAATATATTAGAATTAGCAGAAAGAGAATAGAACAATTAACCAAAAGAAAATATGGAAACTAATCAGCACAAATGGTGGAGAAAAATAAAGCAAGTTGTCAATTAGTGGAAGTTGACTTGTTCAAAGAAACACAATTCAACTAACAAAAGTATACTTATGAATCATGAATAAAATATTATTAATCTGATACATGCATGACAGTATAATCATAATACATCATTGCATGTATTAGTAAAAAAATTAACATCATGTGAAATCAACCTAATAACCCTCTTAAATTGATTACTCGTAGATTTTCTCAAACAATCAGCAATAGGGGTCAAGGATTCCCAACTGCCCCTGGACACGCTTAACTGCATAAAAACCTGAAGTGAACTCTCCCTTTGCCATTCCCATCAAACTAGGACCTACAAACCCTAATTTTGGAGGAAAGTTGGCGAAGAACTAGCTTATAACAGGGTTGTTACAGGTTCAGGGCTTTCCTCCAAGATAATAGATTTTTCTCCTATCCGAGCAACAGAGGCTGATGTTATCTTCATTATGTCAGAAGAAGAAAAGGTATATCATGTCCACAAAAAGAGAAGCGTATTTCAATCTAGAACAAAATTTCTTGTCCTTGGTAGAATGTCGGTAGGTAAAGATCTTACCATCTGTTTGTTACAAGTAAAATTTTCTCACTTGCAGCTTGAAGTCTTGGTAGATCCAGCCCTTGATGAACCTTCAGACTTCTTTGAAGAAATAAGAGCTGAAGATAACAGCGCTTCAACGTCATCACGCTGCCGTTTTCGTGTTGCCATCAAATTTTTTGGAGCATTTCTTATCTGAGGCCTTCCATCATCCTTCTCATTTAATAGCTTACTTTCCGCTGCTGATGGAAAAGTAGAAGCACTTGGACTCAATCTACCACCAGATTTACCGTGTTCAGAACGCCTATGCAATCTTTTTGCCTTCGCTTTAGATGTATTTTCCAGATTAGGTGTTTGGCAATTATATGTGTCCTTCATTCTATGGCTTCCTTCAGCACAAGAGGAGACAGCTAATGAACTATGCCGATTTGATTCACCAGATTTATCATGTTCAGAAGCCTTGGAGCTTGCTTTTGACTTGTCCATCAATACCTTATCGCTTTGGTTTATGACCTTGACTTCAGCAGGAAATGCTCACTTTGAAGAATTGCTGGTGGCTCAATTTCCGTAGATTTATCATGCTCAAAAGATGTTCGCCTCTCTTTTCCCTTCTTTGTCAATACTACATCACATACCTCAGAGCCTCCTCCAATAGAAGAGGCTGCAGTTGCACTCTGCTGCCTCAACTTACTAGATGTCACATGCTTAGAAGATTTCCGAGCCTCTTTTGCCTTCTCTATCGAAGCTTCATCACTTAATCTGTGGCTTTCTTCTGAAGATGTCATTGCAGAACTCTGGCACGATTTACTAGATGTGTCAGATTTACAAAATATCTGTATCTTCTTTTTTTTCTTGATCAATTCTTTAGAAGAATCTGTTTCCAACTGTACTTCCTGAACAATCTTGTCTCCTGTTTTGGTACAATTTTGTTGTTTTTGTGAAGCATTATCAGCACTTGCCAGATGATTTTGCTGGCCTTGAATCTTGTCGCGCTCACCTTCAAAGCTTGGAAGAGGGTGACTTCTTTTTGTTGATACCCTATCCTTGTGCTTCAGTGCGACTTCACTAGAATGATTATCATCGTTTCGCAAATTCTGTGATCGCTTAGGATGTTGATGTAATTTCTCATCTTTGAGGTCACTTGTGCCCTTGGGAAATTCTTTACTATTGGTTCTACTCCTATCTTTTCCAGTGGTCTTTGGATGGCGACTCCAATATGGATCCGACTTAGAACCTGAGTTTTTGGTGACTGCAGATACGGCGTTCCTAAATATGGAAACATAAGGCTTAGAAACCGACATGAACAAGTTTCTTTCCTTCGCATTATCAATCAAAGAAGACCAATGGAGATTCCTCTGCAAAGTTCTTGCATTACCAACTATCCATAAAGAGAATCTGGCCCGTGTAAGAGCAACATTCATTCGTCTTACATCAGCAACAAAACCTATGGAACTTGATTTGGTAGAATCTGAGGCTCTAACAGTGGACAGTAGCAATATGTCGACTTCGCGACCTTGAAATCCATCAATAGTATTGAATTCCATTTCAGAAACTATATTTGGCCCAAACGCAATTGAAAAACGAGACCGCAATAATGAAAGCTGGCTCCTGTAAGGAGTTATGATTCCTATTCTTCTAGATGCAAACTCCGATGAATAGCTGTATCGAAAATCAACTACCCAGAATTAGCAGTAGTTTTCAATGAAATAGGAAGGTAAATTAACATATAAATAATAAATACTCATAATAAAAAGATTGCACCCTTGATTTCTTAGACTTTTCACATGTTCGAACCTCAAGGTGCAGTAATGACACAACCTCATGTTTTTGGCATACAACATTGTAAGTTGATCAAATAGGATGAGCAAAATCATCCAATCCACACCTTATGATCCGCAACCATGTGAATTATCTTTTAAAAAAATGAGTGCCCCTACCTGCTCTTTAAAAATGTAAGTATTCGAATGGCTGCTTCAACCTCAGACTCATTATAGAGGGATAAGGAGGCAGAACTCTTTCCATGATGCTCATGACCATCAACAATATCAAAGAACATGTAAGGGCCAAGACAAGCATTCTCATGAAATGATGCTGATTTAGTGGCCACCAGAGCTCCATTTAGTAGTTTGTTCTCATAAAAATGTAATGATGGAAACCTGGAAATCTCAGGGTGCATACGATACTGTAGAAATGCAACAACAAACAAAAATAAATAAGCAAAGGTTGCTGATAAGCATGTTGTCAGGAATACCAACTCCAGTTGTAAAGATTCGTGACTAGCTAAAAGAATATCTATTTATATTATTCTGTGTTATGACACAAATGTCAACTTATATTCAACACATTGCCTCACCATTATTAAAATTATTCAAACAAACAAAAACAAATACGCAACAGTTGCAGATATGCATGTTGTCAGGAATACCAATTCCAGTTGTAAAGATTCATGACTGGCTAAAAGAACATCTACTTATATCATTCTGTGTAGTGACACAAATGTCAACTTTTATTCGACCCATTTCCTCACCATTGTTAAAATTATTCAAAGAGTGAAAGATAGAGAAAGTCAAAGTTGCATAAAATTCCTGTTTTGACCTTTTTCTTCCAAAAATGAGATACTTAACCTCCCCTTTTCGTAATTTGCCTTTCCTTTTAATTAGTCATAACTTTACCCATTATTCAAGCAAGGATCGTCCTCGAATTCTGGAGGTCAATGGATGTATATATCGTGTTTTTATGCCAAATTAGATTCATTTTTTAGAATCGATCACAGTAAGAAAGGCCCCTTCGCTCACTCAAATTAGCTGACACTAGTACAGGTTCAATCTTTTCTGATGGAAAACAGACAAATCAAAGTAGAGACCTCACAAGTGATACAATGGTGTCATAGCATACTAAATACGTTGGAAGGGAAAATGATGAAGAACAATCAAAGAAGGAAATATGATAATAATCTGAATACAGTCAGGGTTTGTTTCCCAAAAGAGGGGGAACCAACTAGCAACTTCTACGCACAACCAAAATATTTACGAGTAAAAAAAGAGCTATAATTTAGTAGCTAGCAAACATAATAATGACACTTCCTACTTTGTATTCTGATATTACACCACCACTATATGTTTCTGTTAGACACTTTCACACTCCTGTATTTTCTATAAATATTCTTTTAAGTTAATTACAAATGGTAATTTATTAATTAAAGCAGTAAACTTTTGTGTACTATTACAGCATATAGGACTTAGTAATATATATAGCCTTATAAAGAGGTTTACTTATATTAATTATATATAGAGAGAGAGAAAAACTTATGTCAACTTAAGTGGACGTCCACTAAGTTTCTTATCCATTGATGATCACTTGATTCAGCTACATTGTAGATGATCCGTTCCGTTGAACTTGATCTACATATTCTAAAACCCAACACACCAAATTTGGGGTGAACCCCTCGTGGTTTGACCCTTCATCCACTTGTATCAATTTTAACGGGTTCAAATGAATAGAACTTTTTACATGACTCGACGGAGGGTCAAACTACGACGGGTTCACCCCAAATTTAATGTGTTGGGGTTTTAGAATATGTAGATCAAGTTTAACGGAACGGATCATTCACAATGTAGCTCAATCAAGTGATCATCAATGACTAAGAAACTTAGTGGATCTGACCACTTAACTTCGATACATAAGTTTCATTCTCTTCTCTCTCTCTCTCTCTCCTCTCTCTCTCTCTCTCTCTCTATATAATATTATATATATATTATATATACTATATATATGATATAATATATATACATATTATATTAGAGGAGAGAGAGTGAGACTGAGAACCAGAGTAGTGAAAATTGGGATAGTCTGTCGTTTTGAAGTACAAGTAAAAATTTTTAATGTTTGGTAGTGAGGTGAACACAATCCGCGTCCACTCATTCAAATGGGGACCACATTCACACATGGGGTTGAGGAGTGCATGAAGATATATAACTATTTGAATGAATGGAAGGGATTATGACCAGCCTCACTACGCAGAGGCACAATTTTGTATATGCTTGGTACACAACATACCCATTTTATTATATATATTATATATAGTATGTATTATTAATATATATAATATATATATTATATATATATAGGAATTTCTTTCTTTAAAAACAGCCCAAAAAAATAATTTTCAAAGTCGACTGGGTTATTCTTTATCAAAATCGACCCACTTTTTGCCCAGCGTGGGCTTAATTACGTTCGTTAAAACAGTCTTGAGGTTTCCAACCCAACGTTTAGGCAAGTTCATTAAAGCACGTGCGGCAAAAAGCTAGGTCGATTTTTGATAAATAAAACAAAAGCGCGTCGTCGATTATTAAAAAATAAAAATCATGCTTTTGGGGTGTTTTAAAATTTGTTCATATATATATATGTGAACTTATAAGTCAAACTTCTTTTCTTTATAACCTATATATATATATATATATAGTAATATAATATGATTATGAATACTCATATATATATACTATATATATATAATATACTATATAATCCTAATTGATGTATTTAATAGTGCGATATTTTTTCTCTCTAGTATTCGAAATTGGTTATGACTTTTTATTATGGCTATCATCATGTATGTATGTGTGTGTATGTATATGTATTTGTATATGTATGTATGTATGTATATATATATCTATACCTTTGTGTGTGTGCGCACGGGTGTGTGTGTACGCGTGTGTGTGTGCGTCACCTACATACATATACAAATACATGTGTGTACAGCCTTATTGAGCATGCAAATGCACATGCAACTGTCATCAATACTTAATTATTCTATTTTTTGTTGAAAAAGAGTCATTCTAATACCCTACATATCATAGATATTTCTTAGCCCTTTTCATGATATTTATTCATTTAATATGCGAAAATTTTTCTTAGCTTATTCGAAATTGGTTATGACTATTTATATTGGAATATATTAAAATCCTAATTGTTGTATTTAATGTAATTATTTACAAAAAAAAACTTATTGTGTTATACTTATATAATTTTATACTATAAAATGTAATAGATATTTAATTAGTAAACTCCTCATGTCTTTAGTGAGATGAGGGACATTTTTCCATGTCCTTCAAACACTTCCTACCCTCACTTAGTTTTTAATATAGTTATGCGTGTGTGTGTATTCGACCCTTATATTATGATTGCATGTGTACCATTTAAAGAAATATACCCTTCCTTATGGTATGAAGTTATTTATCTTGAAGATCTAAAAAATCTCTTAAACATTTACCTGTTGAAAACAACACTTTTGTGTTAAAAACGAATTTCTAACACATGGAAAAATAGATAAAGATAAAGAAATAGAATCTTTACATCCACCCCTTGAACTAACACAATGTAAGGGAAAGGAAAAAGTTAAAACTACTCCTATCAAAACTCTCGAATCTTCCAATAGCTTAGCCCGACAAGATCGTATTCTCTTGTGGCTGAACAGAATAATTTTACCAACATTCCCCTTCAGACAATAGGCGAACAAATAGAAAATATGCTCATAGATATGAAAAAGTGATTTCCTCATGTTTTCATCTTTAGTTTGTGTGTGAGTTTGCTTTGTATTATTTTCCATTGCGAGTGTTTCAGTACTCATAAGATAAGAGTGTAAGTATTAGCATGTGCTAATACTATTTTGGTGCTGGCTAGTTCATCTCCCAGCTATCACTTTGCATAAGTTGTTTCGATATGTAAGTTTTCTCTCTATAAATATTACTAACTAGTTTGTGTTTAATCTTTATATTCTTGTCGTAGTGTTGTTCTTCATTTATTTATTTAGCTTCCATTATTCATTTTCTTGCTTCCATTTTTACTATTTACTATTCTTGATATACATGTAAATGAAGATGAAGGTATAGTTATTAGTATTTATATCCTCTCCTCCATCCACACTACAATCTTCACATGCAACATTTTTCATATCAAGGATATATATATGGGAAATATGATTCTAAGAAGACATCATAGATTGAATCTAAGGATACACCCCTCAATCTATAGATTAGACTGTTTCAGTGAACGATCTGCTCCATTCATCATGATCTAAATGCCTTGAAACATCTACAAAATAAAAATCATGATGTTTGAATATTTTTAACACATTTTTCATTGTCTCTTTGGTTGTGTTGTCATAAAACCATTAATTTTACTATCACTTGATGCATTTGTAAATACAACCCGATATGCCTAATTTTTTATTTATATGCTATCTGAATCATTGTTTTAAATATCGGCCGATAATCGATATTATCGGCCGAGTTATCGGATTTAAGAGCTCTTCGCTAGGATAAGTTGGTTTTGTAATCGGTTATCGTTTTGGAGTTTATCGGCGAGTTATCGGCGTTATTAGCACTTACCAGGCGATAAGTAAGGTTTTTTTATCGGGATTATCGGTCGAGCATTTTGAGTTGGATTGTTGAGTTTTTAAACCCGACCCGACCCGCTTTCTACAATTAGTTAGTGATTCTAAACATGATGATTTATATTTTGGTATGTTTATATTTCATTAAGCATGGTTAGATTACATTTTTTAGTTATTATATTATATATACACCATCCAGTATATCACTCCGATAAATACTACTTATCCCCGATATATCCTCGATTTTCGCTATCCGATAGGGATTTTGGCTGTCCGATAAATCCCCGATAACCAATATTTAAAACCTTGATCTGAATCATATAGATCAAAATGAACTCAGTGGATCAAGTAAATTGATTGCATATAATCTAATTTTGAAGGTGCATCCTTAGATTCCATCTAAGGTGGCTTCTTAGAATCATATTTTTCTATATACATACATATATATATATATATATATATATATATATATACATATATATATATATATGAGAAAAATGGGTATGCTTGATACCAAGCATAAATTTTGTGTTTAGTAGTAAGGTGTCGTATTCTCATCCACTCATTTCACTTCTCAACCACTCCCAAATCCATGTAAATGTAGACCCCGATTTCAATGAGTGAGGGGAATATTGTCACTTCACTTACCAAAGCACAAAACTTGTGCTTAGTACCAAAATCATACCCATTTCTCTCCTCTCTCTCTCTCTCTCCTCGTCCTCTCTCTCATCGTCATCTCTCTCTCTCTCTCCTATATATATATATATAATATATATAATATATAGTATAGAGAGAGAGAGAGAGATAATGTTTGTTTACATCTATGTATAAGTTGAAATTAATAATTTACATAAGATGATTATTGTTTTTCGATCCATGTGCTATTAGGATCAGATTTCTATCACATTTTAAGCCTCTTTTATTATGTTGAAAATTATAAATTGGAAGCCACTCGTTTTTGAACTAGACTATAATAGCCCATAATCAATCAACTAATCTCAATATCTCTTAGAAAGGACTTACATGCAAATAGGATATTAATAGTTTGCAAGTTTCATCAAAACAAGTTGTCAAGATTACAAATCTCTTGGATTTTGTTGGCCACTTATTATTGGAAGTTTGTGGCAGTTCAAGGAAACGTGTTCCTTGGATTCTCCTTCATAAAATATTTAAATCCAATGAGCTTTATGCAAATACTAAAATATAGGGGGTTTTCCACAAAAAAATACAAATATCCTTACTGCATGTTTGCTAAGGCCACCCGTTAATGGCAAGATATCATTAGAAGCCATGAATGACTCGTAAAAATAAGAAGAGGAAAGACAAGAATAAAGAAAGATAAACAAATATTTCATGCAAACATAATTCTCTCAAGGCCTGTGCTTCCTGAACTCTTTGCTGAAGATTGAGTTAGTGTGGGGAAGATAATGAAAAGATAGCCTCCAACCCCAAACCCTAAGGTACAGATCTCTCTTGCCCAATTAAGTCTCCAATTTGGGTGATAGTGATAAACCAATTTTGATTTTGCTATCTAAATAAAAATTATGAAATAAGAATTTCTTGGACAAAAAAATGAAAAAGAAAAGAAAAAAGATGAACAAGAGCAAATATAGAGAAGAGATAAAGGGAACATATGGAAAATTATCTTTAGACTCCTATTCTCACAAAACTTTGCCTATTAGCCCAAATTGAGTAAAAAGGATATAGATTTTCAAAGAAAACTTGCTTTGGCCCCCTTGAAGCTCAAAATGTTAGTGCTTGGGCCCTAACAAAGTAAATTAAGATCTTGAATAAGCATGAACAATTAGCTATAGACCCCAGTTGTTCTACACTTTTACAAGTCCAAATCGAGAAAGTATATAGGTCTGGATAATTATCTATAGCCCCCCAAGCTGCCATAGATTGTTAGCAGGTCCAATTTTATTGTTAAAAAAAGTTACAAATTTGTGATAGATTGCTAAAAGCTAGCAATAAGCTTATGTGAATCCTATTCATAAGTCTTGATTATTATTTGATTATATTTGATCTTATTTGGACCTAGATTATTAAGTAATTAGTATAAGTTTATATCAGTAGGGTTTTAACCTTATAATTTTATACAATAGGTTCTTGAGAATATCGAGGGGAATCAAATTTGGAAGATTTTGAGACACTCCAATTGGTTTAGAGGTGAGTTCATTTCTCACTAGAATTTTTATAATACAAACCATGTGAGTATTATATTTGATTGATCGTGTGCTCGAAAAATAATTATTCTAATATTTTTCATGTATATAAAACACAATGTGATTTGATCTATTTTGTTGCGGCCTAACCCATAATATGAATTTAATTACGTATGAGATACTGAAAGTAAATTTGATTTCGTATAAATGTGATAAGTGATTTTGGTTCTTATGCGATCTCAAATAATTGTGAACATTGCTTTGTTTATGTATTGAAAAATGAAATAATTTAAATGTGTTTTAACAGTTTGACAAATCCATGAGGTTTTCCCTTGATTTGGTATTTGACAAAAAAAATAATAATGAATTTCACGAACTGTTCTGATTGAGATAATGAGATTTATGATGATCCACTTGATTTTAAGTGTTCATAATTTTGACAAGTGAACATACTAATATTATTTTGGTACAAATGACGAAAACAAGCAATTTGACAAGTAATGTGTTTCTAAATCAAATGATTTGACACGTGATGTGTTTTCAAAATCAAGTTATTTGACAAGTGATTCTCGATATTTTCAAAACCCGCAAAAGTCCACTATGGAGTGATGTGTTTGTGCCAGCCATATGGTTCGAATGCACTTTTACGTGGCCCATTTGGGCATTTGAAACGGGGCCCTTTTGAGCATTTGTGATGTGGCCGGCAGCATATGGCAGTGCTAGGTGCATTTTGTTCGTGAGAACTGTGTTATATGATGAGTTTTACATATTCCCATGCTACTGGGCTATAATATGCATAGCATTTAGTGTTATCTATGAGGTGATTCTTACAACTATGTGAACAACTCATCAAGATTTGGGATTCTGAGATTTGACTGTGAAATTGAGAAATAATAGTCTTTTGGTTTTGCACAAAATTTAATAGTTTGTTTTCCTTCTAAGTATTTATCTTGATTTTAAAAAGTCTGGTTCAGGAATCTATAACAGTATATTCAGTTTGCACATAAGAAAGATTTTTAAAATGTTGCATTCTTTCTTGAAAATGATAATAATGTGTTCTTTTACACAATATTTTGTCATTTCATAAATTTGTGCAAAACCTATAGTTCACTATTTCTAAGAATTATTATTTTGCTAGATATCTTGAAACTCTAGTAGAATATGTTATCAATGAGCTTTAGCTCACTTTGTCATTTTCAATTTTTTTTCAAATCTGGTGTAGCTTTGCGTATAGACTAAACTTTTTGTTGTGGCATGTCGCAAAGAGGCGTTATATAGGAAAACATCTCTTTTGTGTTATGTATAACCGAACAATATGTTTTGGTTCTATAAAATGCTTTTGTAACGGTGAAATTTTGACTTGTACTTACTCTGTGTGTGTGTGTGTATATATATATATAGTTTGCTCTAATCTTCTATCATCAACAGGTTTATATATTTAGAGAAAAGCTCTGTGATATGAAATGTCAAGCTTGACACGTACATAAGATTTGTCTTGTGCATAGGTCGTTGTTGTCGCGTGCCCGTAAAATATCATCCGCTACGGTTTCGGGGTGTGACATAGAAACCCAAGTGACCTTTTAAAATCATAGCTTTGAACGTAGGTATGGGTTGAAATGAACCCGACCCATGTTTGACGAGGTTCAAGAAATGTATACGAAGTGTGGGATATACGTCTAAGAAGTGTTTGACAAGTGTCTTAAACTAAAAATATATCATATAATTGAAAACATGTCTGAATAAATGTATGCATATATCCAAGGAGTATCCATGAAGTTTGGGTATGGGTAGGTGTTGGATACCAGTCGGGTACAAGTACGGCTTCATGATGGAAGTACCAGGGTAACATAATATACAAGACATGTCAAATACCAGACATGAGGCTTTTCTTATAGAGCACATGTGAAAATAATAATAACCTACATAACCATATGTTAATAAGGTGACATGTTCAAGCAAAACAAAATCGAACATTTCAATGCAGGGATGACCTTACTGCAATGTAGGAAGCATTTGCCAACCAGTGCTATCTAAGGAACTCCCCTTTGGCACTCCACACTCATATGTACAATTAGTAGACATGTTAAATGCAGAAATGAGAGTTCAATTTTAGAGCAAGCACATGTTCACACACTTACACATAAGATGAATATTTTAGATGGTCTATATTACCTGTTCCGTAAGCATCACTACCGGGTGACCAGCTCTTTGTAATCTTTCAAACATACTACATTCATAAAGAAATTTGCTAGCCACACTAGAAAGGACGGTAGCTGGAAGTTGCTTTGGATCTCCAACCTTCATTAAGGAAAACTAATAAAATGAATCCCATTTCAATCAATAACAGAGTTGATGAAATGAGACAACTACTTACCATTATGCATTTGGTTCCATAAGATTTAAGAAGCTGAAGAGGAATCAGTGTCGCTGGTTCAAGAGCCTATACATTAAGATTACAAAACAAAAATACATAAGAAGATCTTTATGCCAAAACAATATAAACTAAAGCATGTACAAGGGACAATGCAGAAAGAAGTACTTACTTGGGCAGCTTCGTCAATTACAACAACATCGAACAAACATTGTTCAGAAAATCGTCCAAATTTATTGTTAGAAGCTGATTCAGAGCAAACTCCATACAGGTCACCACCACAGCCACTAAGTGTCGTTACTACAATTTCAGCCTCCATTAGGATTGATTTTCGAATTTTTTTCTTGAGAGACCAGCTCTCCTCAGATGCTTTCTTCTCTCGGGACTGAGCAGCAGCAAGTTCTGCACAGAGAACTCTTTTCTGCCCATACAGGATGTTGAGTTTTGCTCCCAGTGCAGCATCAGATATTTCCTGCATATCATCACCATTACAAGCCCTGGCATCAGAAGATTTACTTGAGTTCGCATCAGCATTATCCAGTTTAGCACGCCTAGACTCATAATGGCGTATGTTATCCACTAATTTCTCAAGTTTAGAACGAAGTGAACTAGAAGACTTAGCATTGGTATCAGTTTCTAGATCAGCATTGTTTCTGCTGTTATCTGCCAACCGCTGTTCAACAAGCCTATCTATGAAAAAAGGTTGTGAATTAGGATGGACAGTCTTTGCATTGCCAACCCTTACAAGATAAGGTTTGTACACCTTTCCATCGTTCCCATAAAGACCTTCATTAATTCGCGAAACCAGTTCATCAACTGCTGCATTTGACTGTGCACAGATAAGAACCCTCCCTCTCGGAGAACGTTCAATTTGTCCAAAGGAGCTTTTTTCAAACTCATTGCTCATTTGTTTTGCAAGGGCTGCATCCTGCCAAGCTCTTGCAATAGCAGCAGATTGGCCAATCTGAGTTCTTGGGTTGGCGCATGAGACGGTTGTCCTTGAACTGCTATTCCATATGTTTGAAGAACAACTCTCACGAGTTGAATGTAAAGAAAGCAATGCACTAACAGTAGCAACTATAGTTCTGGTCTTACCAGTTCCTGCAAATCATATGAGATGAAAGTTTGGATATATTCTACCAGCTGAAACTCATTGCATAAATGTTAGTATAACACTAAATTTTACAAGATCAGAAAGGAATTTCACCTGGAGGACCCTGAATGAGGCACAGTTCAAAACTACTTCTTGAAGCTTGCGTTCCAACTGCAATGCTTATAGCTTCAAGCTGACTGTCATTAAATGATGATTTAAGCATGTCCTGCAACGGCCTTGTGAGCTTGCTTAATTCCGCTTTTCTATATTCATGATGTCCAAGAGAGTGTTCAACAGGATTCAAGATTGCTGGAAGCATAGCAATGTCATGCAATGATGAAAGGGCCTGAAATTCTCTAATTTGAGGGGTAATACTCATAGCTCGATTTAAACACCATTTGCTCCGTTCAGTCAGAAGCTTCATCACTTTATTTAATCGGGAAGAGCCATTCATAAGGTAGAACCTAATGACAAGAATTGTTGACTGGCCTTTATTGCTTTTCTCACGCCTTTCCACCTGAGATACAAGAAGATTGTAAGATGCAACAACAGAATACATACAGCACAATAAATACACAAAAAAGGGGGAAAGAAAAGGAAGACTACATAAACTTAACACCTTCCCAAGTATGTGTACATCTTGGGCAGAATTTTGCAAAGGTTCTCTGGTGAGCAGGACCAGATCGTTTTCTACACAGCCCTTGGATGCAGCAGACTCGTTATCATCAGGACGACCACGGACGATATGAAAATCGTCAATCCTTTCAACTGAAAGTATACAAAGACTACCACAGAAAATGTCATCTGGAGATGTCTCCATATATGAACTATGCAACTGAGCTTTGAATTCCTCCAAAACCAAAGGCCGGAAAATTTCAACATAATGCTCGACTGACTTAAAACATAAAGGCACCTCCTTTAGATTGGCTGAAGTTGTGTTTTTCTCATTTGTACCAGGAGATAAACCCACAACATTGAAGTAATCTAATTCTAAAATGGGTCTATACCAGTCATCCAATCTTGGAGGCTTAAGTCTTTTAAATCCTGTGCCCATTCTCTTACCAGATTTGTTATTAGTTGGCATTTGAAGCTGTATAACTTTCCGCTTCGGAACAGTAGTTATTGGCTTTGTCAGCACAGTGGGTGGACGTTTAACGTTATCAAGATCACGCTCCAATGGATCATCAATGCTGTCACAAACTAACTCCTTAATTAGAGCATCATCTTTTTGAATTTCCAAACTATTTTTGCGGGTCCTAGAAGAAGAGATTTGAATGGATGAGTGGTGTTTAACAGATTGGCTGGATAAAGCCTTGCAATATGACCTGGAATCTTTAAGTGATCGGACAACATCTTTGGCAGTCATACTGTTTATCTTCTTTCTATCTGTATCTTTTGAGTGGATAAGAGAAGTGTTTCTACTAACAGAAGAACTGACTTCATAAGGCAAACTTTTGTTGTCAAGCACATCACTTTCTTCTTCTTGTGAAGAAGTTGGTGATTCCGCGTCAAATATTCTAGATGGAAAAGGCTTGAGAATGTCTCTTGACACGTTGCTGTTAATAGACTCTGTTGGCCCATTAGATAAGACACATTTACGAGAATCTTGTGGTAATGCGTCTTCCAGTATAGGCTGCTTTGACTGGTCAGAAGATGAAGAAACCAACTTTGGTGATGCCATATTTACTGTTTCATCATCCAAAAGAATAATAAGATCTCGATCCCCACGTTTCTTCTTTGATTCAATTCTCTCAGCATCAGCGTATTTGGCGAAGTAAAATGTGCTATCTACATTCGAACTCCGGTTTTCAAGATAGGGTTCTGACTCAGGCTTACTTACTTTAACTTCAACAGTGCAAGAAGCTTCATCAGATAATGAATTGATAACATGGAGTACCTCATTCTTCAAGCTATCGACAACAGCGCTATCTGGAAGGCAAGAACTCAAAATTAATAACGGATAAAAAGAAATCAACAAGAGATAAATGTGCTATAGATCTCTTTAGAAATGGGCCAAACTGACCAGATGAGATAATGGCTTCGATGACACTAATTGTGCATAGAATTGAATCACTACATGAACGTTTGAAAAGGTTCATGAGAGCTAGCAAGCACTGCTTCCAACGCCTTTTGATTACAAGCAGAGATGATTTTCCTAAGTCCACCAGACAAGAAAGCCATTTGAAGTCACGAAGACCAGAGACCGCTAGCATTGAACTCCATGACAGCTTTGGTGCAGAGCAAAAAAGACTTTCATAAATACATGGAAGTGTATCAAGCAACCGGACAAATGTCATCTGAAACAATAAAGTAGAGCTTAGAGAAGGTGGATACAGAACATGAAGGAATGTCCACACACAGAAAGAAATCACATAGAACGCCCAAACTAGGCAATATAACTTGCCCGCAAATGCTAGAACAAAGTAAAAAAGTTGGATATGCTTAACTGCACAAGTTAAATGGTAAAAGATAGAAACCTTTCTAGAGTTATACCTGATGGGTTTTGCTTTCAATAAATTCTTTCCCTTCCGCAATGCATTTTAATGTAAATGGCCACATAATTGATGAAAGTAAGTAACTGAACTTCTCCCAAGATATCATGTCCACAATGATTGATGAACACCCTAGGGTACCTGTGAAATTGTCAACACAAGGTTGTCGCAAAAAACCCCCTTCAGATGAGAACTTAGTGTTTGTATCTTCAACGGAAATGGTAGGTGGTTGAGTCTTGACTACATCATTTACTAGTTTGTTGACAACAAAAAATAAGTGTTGAAGGTTATGAAAGTTAGCCAGGATGGAAGCAGCTTCAACCTGGAAAGCAGACATATCAACAATAACGGTTAAAGGGTATATTATAACTTGAAATGACAGCAAAAGGAAAAAAACACTATGGAAACAGTAATTCATGTAATCATAAATTCTTAAAAAGGGTTAACTGTGAGGAGTCAAACATTCCACACCTAGTTAGTTCACTAATTTTCTTAATTAACAAAGAACTGGTTCTGTTCTTTAAGCAAGAACATTTGAAACTGTATTCCAACATGAAGAGCTGATGTAGTGCACAACAGTTCCCCATCTCTAACAGGAGGACAAAAATATGTACATGATAACCTGGGGAAGGGAACTAATTAATAGTTAACATTTTTTCATTGTTCATGTATAACGTTCCATTAGCAGGCTGCTGACCCACCTAGTGGAGGCGGAACCACTCTGTCACTTGGGACCTCGGTTCAGGTGAATTAGCACCTGCTTTAATAAGATGGGCTGCATGGGTACTTTGGGTACTTTTTCGTTTTTTTCTTTTTCTTTTTTTTTTCTTTTTGTGGGGGGGTGTTTGATTAAACATTTAAAATCTCAGGTTCAAGACCAATGCCCAATAAATGATTTAAAAGGGAAGCAGCCATCACGCCTGATCCTTAATCTTCACCCACCCGGACCTTCTGAAGACCAATGCAGGTGAATTAGCACCTGCTTTAATAAGATGGGCTGCATGGGTACATTTTTTTGGCTTTTCAAGACCAATGCAGGTGAATTAGCACCTACTTTACTAAGATGGGCTGCATGGGTACTTTGGGTTTTTTTTTTTTTTTTGGTGGTGGGGGGTGTGTGTTTGATTAAACATTTAAAATTTCAAGTTCAAGCCCAATGCCCAAGAAATGATTTAAAAGGGAAGCAGCCCGCCTGATCCTTAAACTTCACCCACCCGGACCTTCTCTCCCTTAGATACCTTTCAAGAGCATATCTGTCGCGGCATGCGTCTTCCTTTAGGTAAATACCTTCTCCAAGTAGCATAATAGGTACTTTTTTCCCCTTTTTTTCTTTTTCCCTTTTTGTGTGTATGTGTGTGTGTGAGAAACTTGTTTGAACATCCTCTTTCTCCTCCCTCTACTCTTTAACTCCCCTTTCTGTTATTTATTCTTCCCTTCCCATCTTTCCTTTTGTTGGTAAGACACGCAGCAGCAACAATGACAGAATGCGATCTCTGTTGCAGCAAGCTGGATGCCAGAAAGCAGGGGTGAGAAGGATAAATACGAGGGAAGAAAGAGAGGGGAAGAGAATATTTCCTCAGTGTGTTTATAAACATTCTGCTTTTCATTAAGTTTCAGAATTTTTAGCCCAATTTTCTAAATGGGGGTACGAGGCTAGGCACTAGGTGTCAGCCCAGCAACCCACTGTCTTGCACATTTTACGACATATATAATACTTCTATTTGAGTACTGTATCAGTACCCGTACCCAAACTCTTTGGACACTCCTTGCATATATAAATACATTTATTCAGGCATCTACTCAATTATACAATACATGTTTTAATTTAAAACATTTGTCATACATTTATTTGAACATATACCTTACACATCCACTTCTTGAAACTCGTTGGACATAAGTCATGTTCCAAACTATGATTTAAAGGGTTGTTTGGATGTCCTAAAAAAACTAGCGATTTTCCAATTTATAATCCACATAATAAAAGAAACATAAAAATGTTATAGGGATTCTGATTCTCATAACACATGAATGAAAAAAATATTGATCTACTTTAAATTATAAATTATTAGTTCCAATATATAATATGTATATGTATATAAATATCTATATAGTCGTGTTCCGGTACCCTACCTTTTACAAATTTACCATGTCGCGTACCCGTACCGGTACCATACCCATACCGATACAACATAACACACAAATTACTTTTAACTTCAATAAAATTGTTATGCACAAGAAAACATGTGTGTTTTTGCTCAGATTAGGTAATTATGGTAAATCTGGATGATCATAAACTTTTTACCCCTACTCTTTGGCGTCTTCCTCTTGCTTTCCCTCCTCTCAAACATTGAGCTGAAGTTAATTAATTTGGATTTTGGGCCAATTGGTAATTTGGCCAAAAAGCCAGGTTCAACTAAACTATTAATTCAGCCTGTGCTCACTTCAACCAAGCTAAATCTAATTCAATTGTTCATATTACATTAACTTGCCTCCCTATAGTCCCCAAAAATGATTATTTCCTTTTTCTCAGTCCGATCATTCGTCTTGTGCTCCCTCTTCCAAGCTGAATATCTGAGTTCATTAATCAATTCAGATTTGGGTCGATTAGGTAAATAAGGCCAGAAAGATAAATTCAATTTAGAAATGTTAGTGCAACCCGTGCTGACCTCAATTGAGATAAACCTAATCAGTTATTCCTATCAAAATGACTTAATAAAGGCTCCTGGTGCACGCTCGAACTATTGATTTCCCTAGTCCCACCATGGTCAATAGGAAAAAGGTAAAGAAGACAGAAAAAAAGTACAGGATCACTCATTGAGCAATGTACCAAATGCCATATGCATGATAAACTTCTCTCAGATCACACCGACTTAAAGTTTATTGGCAGTTAGTAACCTAGGATTGGTCCAACCTTCGTTACTGAGTTTCCCAAGTATCAGCCAAAAAGAAAATTATCTTGGTTTCGTCCCTTTAAAAAGCAACACAAATAGGCTTAGCAGATACATATCAGTTTCTGTCACTTCACAGAACAGATTAGAGTCTTACACTACTGTGCAAGAACACAAACTTGCATCAAGTTCACTAATATATAAAGCTGTAAAACTCTATGACACAAATGAAACCAAGAGATCTTTAAAGAGCTGTATGTTAAGTTGGTCATGAGGTTATAAATAACAATATATTTTTAGAAAAATTGTCTGAGAACTGCAAAACAGTGGGAAATCAATGCAATATTTATCTACCGCATGAATTTATTTTAAGGTCTTGCAAGGTCTACTGAAACACAGAAGACCATTCCCATGATGAAAAAGAGTAGATAGTTACTAGTCCTGACTAAAGCTTTATAGACTGGTATTTGGGACGATAGTGAAATTTGATGTTATTTTTCTGCAATTTAACTCAATATTCTATGGGAATTATAGAATGAGGATGCCTTAGAAAAGTGGATCCATTCTGAAACATTAGAAAAAAATTGAAGAACAAAATTAAAAGGATGGGAAAACATTGGTTGCTATATAAGCCAGCAAAAAGGGGGGAAAAAGAAAAAAATGGTGTAGACTTCTATCGGTATTAGGACTTTGATTTCTCTTTTTATTAGAAAAATATTGTTGTAACCTAATCTATCAAAGACAAGTTACTCAGAACTCTAATTGTTTTGGAGATCTTTTTTAACCCAAACTATAAGGAATACTTACTTTAGTATGGTTAAAGTTCTTTACTAATTACTATTATTTACAACTAGGTTTCTTAATGATCAAAATGATGTAAATTTATACAATACTTCACATTTCTTTTAAAGGTAAAGATGGAGTGGATGCACTGTGGGATCTTCTTCTCATGTATTTTCTTAATGATAGTTTGTTGAATGATGTGGCCATCAAGGTTTTAAATATCGGATGTCGGGTTCATGTCGGACGGCTGAAATCCATGTCGGATAGCGGAAATCGGGGATATATCGGGGGATATGGACTAAATATCGGATTGCCATATCGGGTGGGCGCATATGTACAATATCATGTCATAAATGTAATCTAAGCATTCTTAAATTCAATATAAGCATACTTTATAAACTTTATAGACTAGACATATAAAAAAGTAAACAATATATGAGAAATGTAAAGAGCTAAAATGTAAACAATATTAGAGCTAAAAAAGTAAACAATATACGAGAAATCAGGGATTATTAAATGATAAACAAGGATTATTACAAGGATTACTAAAAATTAAGACATTGAATCTTTCATATAAATTAAACAAGATTAGAGCTAAAATGTAAAGAGCTAAAATGTAAAGATATAAAAAAATATTTATGCAAGCATTCCCATCATATTAATTAAACAAGGATTATTACCGGAGTTGAATCTTTCATATTCCGAGGATTACTAAAAAAATCAAGTTAGAGCTAATTTTACTTTTAATCCAAAAGAATTATTTAATTACTTTTTGTCCACAATTTGCTCCAAGATACAAAAAGAAACTTATGATGATAATTTAGGAAAAGAAAGAAGAGTAAAAAGAAAAAAGGGAAAGTTAAAAACCATGATATATCGCTGAACCGATTTTCATAAATTTTGGCCGATTTTTCAAATAGGAAATAGCGGCCGATATATCCGATTTTTCGCCGACATGACCGATATATCGCCCAAAAACGATATGCGACTTGTATTTCCCCGATTTGTGTCGCTCGACACCTCGATCCGCTATATCGGCCGACATGTCCGACATGTCGGCCGATATTTAAAACACTGGTGGCCATGGTTGGAAGCCATATAGGCATGAAGCCGAGAAATGTAGAACTTCCTTTCTTTATCCTTCACCCTTTTCAAATTTTCTACATTCTTTATCGTTCACCCTTTTCAGATTTTCTACGTTCGTTCTATAGAAATCTAAGACAAACATTAAGCAGATATGAATACTACTGGAAAACGTCCTTGATCCAAAGTCTTCGCGGCAAACCCTAACCAGAATTCCTAAATTCTATTTGGTTCCTTCTCCCCCTGAAACCCTAATTTCCAACAGTTCTGCATGCCTCTAAGCGTAACAAAAGTACAAGGGTTGTACACACTTTGCACGCGCTGGCTCCTCATAGAAAGAACTGAACATGAATTTTGTAGTTAGCTTAATGAAAACTTTAGGGGGAAATAGGGGCATGCACTTCAGACAGAGTAACCAAACCACAGAAAATCACTCATTATAGGAAAAAAAATAAAAGATTCAGTAACCAATTCGCTTTTGGTAATTTCATATGCAGGAATCAAATGACTGCAAGGCTTCAAAACTATGTGACCATCGTAGTGGATTTAATGATATTTGTCAAATATTTTCATATGTTGAAAAAAGATGGTTAACTACACTTAGTTAGAAACCTCACTTTAATCATGAATAAAGCTCAGTAACGCAAAATTCCTAGAAAGCATACCTGTTTTAAAGCATACCTCAATCCCAAAAACATGGCAGATAGAGAAGACGCACTGGAGCAAAGGAATTTAAGTTGAGAAGTCAAATCACGTGCCTTCGACATGTGTTCCAAAATGACCTTGTCTGCTTGACGTATGGCCTGAATACAAATGAATATCTCACAAAATCATAAGGTTTGGAAAAGAAAATAAACTGAACTATTTCAGCAAATAAATTGATTCATATAATATTCATTAGTTTCTTCTTACAGTATATACTTTAGTAACTATTCTATACGATAAAAATTGATTAGAGTTAGTTAGCACCCTCACATGATCAGGATCTATAAGCAAAACTATCAAACATTCTGCCATTTTTGGTTCCCAAGTCCACTGCCTATGAAGCTCATGTTTCTCCATTTCGAGAATAAAACCAGCAGCAAACCTTCGAAAGAAAAAAAGAGGAAAAGGGTGATGCATGTGTGCATGTGAGTGAGACCAAGGAAAATGTCAAGCAACCTAAGTAAACTATACTCAAATAAACAATGTAATTAAAATAATAATAATAAACTTCAAACCTCTTGAATGTTTGTATCAAGGTATTGCACATGGATGAGACCTTAACTGAATTTCTTGATTCTTTGCCATCTCCGCCATCATCAGAACCATTTGGAATTTCCCAACCAAATGACGAAGAGATTTCTCCGGCATATGATGATAACCAGTCTTTCGTAGAGAGTGAAGACTCAGTACTAGTATGAGGCATGATTACAGAAACATGAGATAATGCCCAGAAGACAGCCTTGGAAAAAGATGCTGGAAGCATTGAGGGGCCCACTTCTACCAAAGAATCAAACCATAACATAGGTATGCAAGTCCACTGGCTACATTCCTGTGATGCAAGCTTGTTCTGTGTATTAAATTCATTCCAACAACATTTATCCTCCTCAACATCATGCAAGAATGGGACTTCATCCTCGTCATCAATCGTCAGATGAGAGATGGTAGAGTTAATGTTTGAAACAGATTGGTATTTCGTTTTTAAAGATATCATAGCAGAAACATCAGAAATAATGATAGTTTCTATTAGATCAAATGCTGGCTGGCGAAGAGAAAAATGAAGTGATGCATCTTTCAACGAATTCACCACAGAAGGCCCCCTGTTAAGCCAAAAAAAAAGTTAAATATATCTGCCTCTATGTAAGAAAATAAAATATAATTCTCATAGAACTATCAAGACAACATGATTCCCATCTGAATTATAAAGGTTGTACTTCTTGACATTACAAAACTAATGTCTTGAATGTCGGAAGAAATCCTGCAGATTTCAGATCTTGGAAAGAAGAGAAACATCAATAGATGACAATAAAACATAGAAGGACACAATAATAACATCCACATCTAAAGATGCATAACAAGCAAAGTCATAGAACTAAAAAGGGAAAATGGCAAGTGGTATTCATGTAGCACTGAAATTCAAAACATTGGAGAGAAAGCAATCTGTCCAAGAAAGTTGAAGACAACAAAGCGTGTTGAAGGATTTAGGGAAAATTATTGAAAACTCGAAAGAAGTCAGTGGTAAATGTTACACAAAATCAAAGCCAAATGGTCCTAACAAGGTGTCATTATAGAGATTATTGTGTAAGAAAGTCAAAAACACAAAAGGAAACTTGAAGAAACTATAGAAACATGTGGAAATGCAGATGCGATATTTATAAAGTCAACAGAGGGCAAAAAACATGATTATTGCGATGAAAAAATTACTCTTACTTGTACAAACACTCTAAAGTTTAGAAAAGAAAGGATATAAATCATAACAATTCAAAAAATTAAAATACAATACATTTTAATCATCTAATAACTTTGCCTTCCTTAGCCCAAATCAAATTACAGTGTCATTCCTCTCCCTATTTCTAACTAAATTCAAAACATAATACTATTATTTTTATGCTTATGCCTAATCAAAATTCATTTCTAAGCCCTAATAGAGTAGTTTTTGGTGAATAGGGAAAAGAATACAATTCATAAACAATTAGCCTCGTCATGCAATTGATTAATTAACATATGTCAGGATTTTTTTTGTGATAGGACAAAGTGCAAGTTATGGTATATACATTACCAACTACCTTTCTTCAAAGACTAGTTCTATATCATTTTGATAGATAAAAAATAAGCTATAGTTATTTGCTTTTCTGTATGGGCTATGGGTATGAGTAGAAAAGTCTTTTTTTTCACCATTACTACTAACATCATCAGTTGTCACTCATTATCCAACCTTTTTTTTCTTTCGTGCA